AAAAAAAAAAAAACCTTATTCCACTCTTTAAAAAAATAAATAAATAAATAAATAAATAAATAAAAAGGGTAGACCCCTGATACCTATTAGATGATGATGCAAAATAAAGACAATATTCAAGGTACAGGACACCAGGAGAAATCTGTCTCTAGTTTACAGGTACATCCATCTCAGTGGTCAGCCTGCCATGTCCAGCACAGCTCTAGAAGTTCCCAGGGGTAAAGGGTATGTAGAGGAAGAAGAAAGAGAAGTCCAGGCATGGTGGCATACACCTGTAATTCCAGCTGCTGGGGAAGCTGAAAATAGGAGGATCATTACAAGTCTGAACTGTGTAGTGAGACCCTGTACAAAAAAAATAAAAATTTAAAAATAAAATAAATAAATAAAAATTTTAAAAAAGGAATAAAGGTAAGAGATAGAAAGCTGAGGTCACAGGGGCCTGCCCCTTAGCTCAATTCTTTAAGTGGCTGCTTCAACAAAGCAGTCAGGCTCAGGTTGCTGTGGTTTGATCCCCACAACTCAAGCCAGCCTGTCATGCCTTGAAGGCATTCGGAGCAAAAAAAAAAAAAAAGAAAAGAAAAAGAAAGCTGAGGTCAGGTGCAGCTCTCTCGCCAGATAGGAAGAAAAGAACTGCTTCAACCATTGTGGTGCATTTATTTATTTATACATTGTGCAGGTTGGTGCCACACCACACCCCTTTGCCTAACAGCCCATTGCTCGTCTTGTCTTGGTGTTCTGTGGACTGAAACAGCTTGCTCACATGACTTGCCTCTAGTGCCGTTTGTTCTGGAACTACTGCTTGCCTCACTGGACACATGTGATCAATTTCCAGCTTCTATTAGCAATCAAGGAGCACAGGAGAAAGGACAGTGGGCTTTGACTGTGGTAAGTTAATAGAAAACAAGTTCTTTCCTATTCCCCAATACCTGTGTCCTTCCCTGTCCTCAGCAGATCTCGCCTTAAGAGCTCTGATGATATGAGCCTTCTCTGCACCGCCAAGAAGAGCGACTACCTTGGTCACGCAGGGCTCAGTCACAGCCTGGTCTCCAGCACAGTGAAATGTTATTTCACATCCCCTGGTCCCCAAATGGCCTCTCTCTTTAGTCCTGTATATTGAGGCCAAGTCATTCATACTGAGATACTTCCCAGTCCTTCTCTAATTTTGAGACCAGAATGTCGAATTTCAGATAAGTTTTCCTAAGACCTCTTCCTCCCGCTCTCCCTCTCACTGTCATCTTTTGCCCCATCTCTGGAGTAGTCCAAGCATCTGCTGTAGCTCTTTTCCCCTCCATGCCTGTGTTCTCCGGTCGTGACGTCTGCCCCTCCTGCCTTTGCTTCTGTTCCTCAGCGCACCCTCTCTGTTGGACCTCTCTCCTTGCTACCTGCTCTAGCACACCTGCCCTGTCTCTGCCCTGGCCATCTCTGGGCTGCTCCTCTCCCTGCCCGGTAACTCTGTCTCTCGCTTGGCTGGTCCTAGGAGGTCCAACACCCTTGCTTTTCAAATGCGAGCTGGTTGGCGTGAGCCCTGGACACTACAAGGTCAGTTTGCTGGTTACGACCCAGACGCGCCGACCCCACCCACTGCAGGAGAAGACGGACGCAACCTTGCGCACGCGCACAACACAGGTTTTGCTTACTACAAGTCCCAGAAAGCACCGCGCAGAACCGCTCAGGTACGTGGTCCCCGAGGTGGCGGAGAGAAAAAAAACCACTCCCGGCAGGGGGTTGCCATTGAGCCGGTGAGGCTGACGGCATCCCTGTGAGGGCCATGATTGGTGCAAAACCTCGCAGATGTCAGGAAGGCCCTTAGAGAATTGAGGAAAATGGGGATAGGGAGACATGCGCGGCTAGAGGGCGGCACAGCCGTCACTTGCCCCCTAAGAAGCTTGCGCACGTCGACGGGGGCCGGACCCCTGGATTGAAGGCGGGGAGCGTGGAAGAGACAACCAAGAACGCGTCCTGGCCCTCACAGCCTCCGCTAACCCAGGGGGCGGGACAAGGGGGAGGGTAAAGACCGGGACAAGGGGGGAAGGGTGGGGAGGGTCGCTCGATGGGGAGCGGAGCATCTTGGGAGACGTAGTCCGCCGCGGATGGAGCACAGCGGGCGCGCGTGCTCGGATATGCGGTGCAGCTCGCTGACCGCTGGCCGCTAAGGTGAGGGCGGTGGGGCCTCCCCCTCGGGAAGGCTCGGTAGGGATTGCGAAGACAGCGGGGATTCAGAAGCTCCTGCTTCCCAGAGAGCGCGGGACCTTGGGTTCGCCTGAAGGCGGGCCTCGCGCATAGCTTGTCAGTCTCAGCGTACTGCCTAGACTGCAAGTTCCGAAAGACCCGCCCCATGGTTGCCATGGCGGCGCCAGAGCGCCTGAACCGGAAGCGGTAGACCAAGGCTTCTGGGAAATGTATTTCCG